TTGACTGTGGCACAGCTGCTGCTGCCTGTGCTCTCGGATGACCAGGAAGGGCTGTGATCCCAGGGTCTCAATAGCTATTTTGTGGTGACAAGAAATGCCTTTTAGAAGCAGTGCAGTTCTGCAGGTCTTATAGCAAACTCAGTGGGGAAGAAAAAGGGAAGGATTTTGTTCCATGTCATACGATAAAAGTGCAATACATTACTACTTATAATAATGTCTGCATCACATTGAATTATTACCTTACATCTAGCTCAATTTCCATTTCAAGTTTTCATTTATTTTTCACTTCACTAAGTCTACAAAATTAATCTGGCATCAGACACATCCATTAGAAAACAAATTCTGACTCTGAGGGGAAGTGTGACAGGACTTTTGGGAGGGGCAGGTTGAATCTCCTTAACCTTGGTCTACTGGGATGTGAGCACCCTGTCAACTTTACTTTCAACAGCATTATATGCCTGATGAGCATCACTCTTGGAAATTGCCCCAGCTATCACACTGCCTACTCACACTCACTCATTTAGAGTAATTTCTTTGGAGAGCTGACTTCTGGGTTGGCAGATATTTCAAAGGGCTGCTTTGATTCAGTCCTCCCTCTTAAAAACAGTGTTATTTTTGTTTAATCATTCTTGGAGGTAGGAGGCAGAGGCAGGTTTTGCCCCTTGAAGGGTGTGTTGCATGTCTGATAGAGCAACACAAGGGCCCTGGGTTGAGTTATTCCAGGGCGAGTCAGGTTAATCAAAAAAGAAATTTCCATTGGCGAGGTGAAAGAGATATTAGGATGCTAGTTATGATTACTATATGAAACAAGTAATCTCTTCTGACAGAGCTTCAAACAATGTGCCAGGCCCAGACCTTAGTCTTGGTAAAGTTGGATGCATTCCTTCACATGCAAATAAATGTTGTTTTTCTTTTGATGGAGCTCTTCATATTTTCATCTCAAATCCCTTTTCAGAGGTGCAATTATGCAGAGCCTTGTTTACCAAGTTCCTTACCTGAAACAAGCAACAACTGCCAAGAGTGTTCTCCTTTTTGCCTCAGCATCAGGAGGATTTGGTCTTTTCCTGCTGAGCCACAGTGAGTTTTCCAGGAGCTTTTCATGGAAGGTGGCACCAGTCCAACCCCAAGGGCATTTCTGTTGAAAAATGTGTATTATGTACAACATGAAAGTCACTCATCTTTGAGGAATCCAGCCCTACCCAGCTTCCTCTCAAGCTGCTATTTAGTGATGAACAAAAGTGGAGCTCAGACTTCTCTGCCCCACAGTGAGCAGTTCAGGACCACATACAGCTTCCAGTCCTGCTCAGGCTTGAAACTTGGAGCTGAATGCACCATTTGCACATGTCCCAAAACCATCATAGATAAACATCTTCCTGATACTGCATAGCAGAGGAACTACATCAGGGGGGCCCTGAAACCTCTCACACTGAAAAAGGGAGAGTGTATTTACTCAGATTTCGTGCATAGAAAGTGTCAGCCCTTTTGCCCACCTACAAACACATCTCAGCTTGGACCTGCCATGGGATGGAGAGGTATCACAGCTGCAGGACTGACCTCTCACATCCCTCCTTGCAAACAAGAGATGTTACTCTGGGGTTCTTTTCCTACTGCTAAAATTTTACTGCCCAGTTAGAGATCACCTTCTGAGAATCCTTACACTTGGACTGAAGTGAGCGCAGATGAAATAAGGAAAGGAATTTTGCTTGTATGGCAAGTAATTCTTTGTTCTGGCTTGCTTTTTTATTTATCTACTTATTCCTGCTTTACATTTTCACTCCCTTTCTTTCCTTTTCTATGTGTTTCTCCTCACTCTTTCTTGTCACTTTGGTAGCAGACCCTCTCTGATAGTTTTCAGATTAAGTTTCATTCTTTAATCACAAATACAAGTAACCATGGATTCCTCCTGGTCCTGATACTACTTGAAGAACCAGCAGCAGCTGATGGTACTGCTGTGGTCACAGCACACAGCTGAAGCTATGTTTGAAGTAGGGCCAACATGGGAACACTTTTGGCATGTGCTTCAAGGTGTTTTTAGTTGTCACGTTCAATTAATCTAGCTTTATTTATTCTCATTGCACATTTTGCCTACAATATATTCTGATAAACTAATGAAATGACAGGGCCAGACAAAATGATGTCCCTAAATTAGACACAGGTGATCTTCCCACATACACAGAGCCACTTTCCCACCTTGCCCAGGTCTTGCTGAGTATGGGCAGTAGCAATCCAAAGGAAGAGGGGAGAGCAGACTCTCACAATTGAAACCTCTTTCTCCTATGCCCTGGGGAGGGAACTGTAGAGCCACAGATAACTGCTCACTGCACAGCATACTGGTTTCCAGAGACTTGGTGGTAGCAGTGAGCAAAGGGTTCAGGTACCAAGCACTTAACTGGTATTCAGAGCTAGAATGTCTTTTCCCTGTAACTGTTCCCAATGCCCAGCCCTCCAGCAAGAGCAAAGTGCCACATGTACACTGGGATGTGCCAGCAGGAGGAAAAGGAGATGCAGAGGAACAATCCTAGCTCAGACACACTTTGCTTCAGGGCACATGCAGCCCAATGGGAGCACTGGAGGGGACTGCAGAACTGAGCCTGTCCTAGGGCTTCACCCCTGCCTGCCTACCCTTGCTGTTCCTGTACAGCTCCTAAAAGAGCTCCAAGAACAAGATGCTGGTGGTACTCGGATTGTTTAACCCCCAGCATGGCGCTTGAGGTGTCAGAGCAACAGATCACTGGTGCAGCCCACAGAGGTGTGTGAAGTTTGGTGTCGCCTGCCCTCCTGGCAGCACAGCACCCCTGTGTCCCTCTCAGCTGGCAGGCAGCAAGGCACTGCAGTGCAGCCTGCCATCAGCACTCACCTGCAGCTGAAACTTGTTTCAGTTTACACACCTCACACCTCCAGACATCTACTTGCCAGTTGGTATAGGCTGCTTTTACAGCTCCAAAACATCAAACTGCAACTGCTCTGAACCTATTGGCTTCAAAGGGTTACCTGATGTCATGGCAAAACCATGTGAAAGTGCCGAACTTTGCCAGGTCCCTCCAAACAAAAAAAAACCCAAAAAACTAGCCAATCAACCAACCAACTAACCAAAAAAAGGCAAAATAAAACCCAAAACAAAACAAAAAGATCATACCCCAAATTTCTAATTCATGACTGAACAGAGTTTCAACCAAAGTTAATACATTTTATTGTGCAACTTGAAAACTTTTGCATGGGTTCATTCAAAAATATCTGTACAGCATCAATTACTTGTAGCTGTTCTGTACAGCACATCTTTATACTTTGGATTTATCTGCTGCTGAGTGAAGAGTATGTGAAATGAAAGTGTACTATTAAGACTAGCTTTTAAAATATCTTCTTAGAAATTTAGCTACTCATTATGGATTTTTGGACAAGTAGGATAAGGAAGAACAACAGCAAAAGAGGCAGCTGGCAGCTGCCTGGGGAGGAGCTGCAAAGCTGGGAACAGCATTCATGAAAGTCGGGGCTAAGAGTGAAGGGCCAGACTTTACCAGGAGAAGACACGGGAAGATGAAAGTACAGGATGGTGCTACACAGTAGCCTTTGACCAGAGAAAAGCCAAAACTCTTTTGCATCTAGCACAAAAAACAGGCTGGAAAACTTTCTTTCCTCACCTCTAATGAAATCAGTGATTCCTTCATTCAGTTGAAAGAAAAGAGACGGCAGGATAAAGAGTATAAATTAAATGTTTTCCTGAAGAACCTCAGGGGCTTCGTTATTCAAGGCTTTACACCCTGCCTTCTGTGGCTCAATTTTTACTGAAACAACTCTGTAAATGGAGGTCAGCATGAAAAGAGAAATCTCCTGATAGAACCAGAAGCATTTTAGATGACAGCATCTTCATTCTGAGAGGCATTGTAAAGTAGTGGAGGCTCTCTTCTCGCTCATGTAACACTTGTTGATCCTGCAGTGGAGGGTATCTTGTGCAGCAGTACATCACCAAGGGGTACTATTCAGAGACACAACAGGATTATTTTCAGCAAAAAGCAGCAAGGGGTTGGTTTATGGTGCCTGCTCATTTTCCTGGGCTGACTGTGCACCTCGCTGTGCCATGTTCAAACCACCTGGCAGAGAGGTTGCTGTACAGCAAGGAATGAGGGAGGAGAGGGCAAGAAGAGAAGATGCTGATGTGGAGACTGCGTTCCAAGTGGCAGAGCTGGAGCCTGGAGGCAGGAATCAGTCCCCACAGGGAGCTACACTGGTGCCACCTGGTTACACTGATATGAAAGGAGCCGTGCCACTGTGTGCAGTGCTCTCTGTGGAGGCAACCCATGAGATTTCCCTTGTGTGAGAGTAGGCAGCAGTTTCACAACCCTGTATGTGCTTCTGAGGCCTGAAGGCTGTGCCAAGCTCTCAGCTGCTTTTCCATGCCTTCCGAGCCAGCTCCAGCCAGCAGCTCCATTTGCCCAGGTGGCACGTGCTGTGCCACAGCCCTGCTAGCCAGATGTTAGCTTTTAGGAGGTGTCCTGGAAAATAGCCATGTTCTGTCCTGCATGCAGTGGAGGCATCAACACTCCTTTCTACAAGCACACACATGGAGTGTGATTTTGCAGGAGATCTGTGCCCTGCCAGCTCGCTCTCTGCCAGCAGTGCTGTGCCGTGGCCCTCCTCCACTCTGCCTCCAGGGAACGGCAGGAGACCTGAGAAACTCCCAGAGGACAGGCAGAAATACAGAATCCTTTAGGGCTTTATGATGGCACTTACTATCAGGGGCCATAAGCAAGACAGAGTTCTGGGCTGTGCAAAGAGTCCTACAGGCGGGGGAAAAGCAACCCCCAAAGACCTGGCAGTGACGCAGCTGAATTTTGGCAATGGTTTCCTGTATAAATTTGTGTTTCATCTCAGATGCAGCCAGCAGATAGGAGAGCACAATGGCAAGTGTGTCTCCTCATTTGAGACCTCACACACAGACTTATAGCCCCTGCTCCTCTGCCAGCATGGCTTGTGCCACCATGGGCACAATGTGTCTGCTGGGCCACTGCTAAGCACTGGAAATGTTCTTGCATGCATACTCTACATCCGTGCCACAGATGTAGAAACCTCCCTCTGCCCTGCTCCCAGCTGCTGCAGAGCAAAAACATCCCATGAACACACAGGACCAGTATGTGCAGGCAGTGCAAGGCAGCTCTGTCGGCCCTGTGTCCACACCAGAAGTCACCACCAAGGCAGCTGGATGGGTGCTGAGCTGCACTGCCCGTGGTCTCAGGCTATCCAGGTTTGCTGGATATGGGGTCTTGGCACACTGCCACCTATGCAGCAGAGGCATAGGAACCATTAGGGTTCCTTTTGGAGGTAAAGGAGCTCTCTGTCTCATTTACAGGTGCTGTCCTGAACCCACAATCGTTCAACAGTAGAACCAGGCTCTTCATTTGGCAATAAACACATGTACTCTCACCCTGTTCCCCTCATCTCTGCTTCCTTTCTTAACTCATATCTTGCAAGTTTAAGGTACTTCTTATCCTCCTGAGCCCATATTTCTCACTCTTTACACCTCCCTACATTGCAGAGGACATGAGGAAAACATTTGTCACCTGTTCTCTGCCTGACTTGCTGTGCCCAGGTCTCCTTTGGAAGGACACTCAGCGTGGCTTACCCTCGATCAGCCCCGCTCAGAGGGCCATCTGTGCCATCCTGACAGCATACAGGCAATTCAGCCCACAGGGAGTCACAGCATGGCAATGCTGCTCCACTACTTCAGCCTCCATGCTGAGTGTTGAAGACAGGGAAGTTTCCCAAATCATTGTGGCCACCTTTGACACAGTTGTAGCATCAGATTCATAGCATCACAGAACGGTTTGAGTTGGAAAGGACTCTAAAGATAAGCTACTTTCAGTCCCCCTGCCATGGGCAGACACACCTTCCACTAAACCAGGTTGCTCACTCTTCTTATTGTCCTCCTGCACGGCCACCATCCATGGCATTTTGGAAATGCAGCAACAAGACTCATCTGGAATAACCTGTTAAGTCTTTATATGGTTCAGCTGCTCCAAAAATAGAAGGTTTCTAGAATAAGCCACTGCCTGAACTTGATTGGCCATATCTGAGCTCTTCTAACTCATTAGCCCTGAGCCGATTATGTGCTGAAGGATAAGCATTAGCCACACAAGCCAGCATTCAAACTCACTGACTTCCACATCAAGACATGGAAGCTTTATGGTCTCTATTTGACTAGTGGGAGTTCCTAAAGGATGCCAAGAGCTACCTTTGTTTTACTGTGAGTCATTATCAGTGTTGGGAAGCATAACAAAAGTAGAGGAATGTATTAGGCACCAAATATGGTACTTGCAGTAAAAAACACTAATCAGTGGGATTGAGGTATTACAGCTGCCTGTGCAGACTGTGTCCTGGCAATTCGATCACTTCACTGCTAAGTGCTGTAACTCATATGTCTCACGTGGTCAGGCATTTTTGGGAGCAATATCTAGTATCACAAGGAAGAGAATCATACTGATTTTTCCACTTGCCTCCAGATGAGGATAGTAAAGCCATACACATATATTTTGAAGATTCCATGTGATCAGAGGTACCTATATCTCTCCTCTACAGTGAGCAAACTGTGGTGGTTTCCTTGTTACGACAGAAAGCCATTTTTGACATGACGACAGAACTTACCTCCCTAAAATGTATTGCACAACTAAAGACCAGCCTTTTGCTATAGCAGTGTTCTGGTCTATGACATAACTGGATTGGTGGTCTCTGGAGGGATATATAAATAAGGCTTATGCCAGCACTCACTTGTGTCCTATGTGACTCCAGACATGAACATCTGAACTGGCAAAACTCCTTCAAGTACAAGCCCTGGGCTCATTAGATATCCTGATGACTGGGGATTAAATCCACATAACCACAAGCAACACTTCCTCCAAATATCTTTTTTTTTTTTTTTTTTTCTCTCTCTGTGAGCTGAATTTGCCAGACACCTATTGACTCCCAAAGAACACTCCTTTGCCTTCCTTTGCAAACCCTGCTTACAATGAATATTCTTCTGCCAGGAAGCCTGACCCAATTGTCTCCCTCTGAATAGCCAGTGCTCATGCAAAAGGACTAATCAGTGATTCTGTGGGTGTTTTCCACTGAGTGTCAAAAATCCTGAACACCTGATTGAGTAGATTCTGTTTGTAATAATATTTCCTTGCCAATGGAGAGTCTAATAAGTAATAAAGCTCTGAAATACATCATCTTCAGCTAGAGCAGTAATATTTAAGTTAAACTTTTAAAAAGGCAATGGAAATAAGCTAGAGGTCTGATGCTTTTTCATTTTTAAAGGAGGAGGAAGTGGCACTCAGAAAAAGAGGTGTTTTGATCAAACTGTAGTCAGCTGTCAGGGGCACTTAGGGACATACAGAAGTGTTGAGGTTTGGTTTTTACATAAGCTACAAAATTTGACATGAATGAATGAGTTGATTAAAATCCCCACGCTCTCTTTGCACACACGTGCACTGAGTTGCCAGTACAGTGATAGTAGTTAATCCCCAGTTACATCTATTTTAAAAGACAATTTTAAACATATGTTCGGTGCTGATATATTTCTCTGTATGTGGCTTTCTTTTAGCACAGTCTGTAGTTAACAGCATTTCAGCCAATTTCCCTCTGGGATATCAGTTTTCAAGCTTCTTATCTTGGTTGGGAAATTAAAACTCAAATGAACAGGCTGACATTCATAAAACATGTCTGGAGCATTTTTAGTATAAGACAAGCAGACGTGAAAGCACAGGCTAGACAAGGAAAAATCAGGTGCAGCTATATCCTACCTAGTTATAAATACCAGGAAAATAATTGCTTCTATTCCAAATAAGTACAGACAAGTCTGTCCTTTAGCTACATATCAAAAGCCATATTTTTTGTGGATCTGGGTTCCTTAGTAGTAAATCTCTTTCTGGACACAGGTAACACCTACCTGGGGAAAGATGGGAGCTAGCGGACAGCTGGTCTTCGATTGTCCCCTCCCCATCTTCCTTTCTCTCCCTGCACCCAATTCCCAGACATTCTGGCATTTGTGTGAGAGTAAGAAGGGGAGACTTCTGGGGACAGCTTGAGTGCAAGGTTTTTTAAGATGGGTTGGAGAAGGAGACCAACACAGTAGTGTGGGAGTAGCTGGAGCTGGCTGAGGAATGGCAAGGAGCTCTTCTGCTGTCAAGGATTGTTGAGCTTGTCAAGGCCAAAAAGGGCATTGGTCACCAAATTGCAGAATGGACTTTGGAGGAGCTTAGGGGGGCTGGGAGCAGAACGTAAGTGCCCATGAAAGGGCAGTGAAGTCTAAAACTGAAAGTACCAAAACCCATGGAGTATTTCTTGAGAACCACCATCCTCATGGAGTCTCCTGCAGAATGAGAGCTGCAGACACCACAGAGAAACTAAACATTTTGAACCTCTGTTTTCTGGCAACCCAGACAGCAAGAAACAGAGCATTAAGCAAGTTCTTAAGTTCTGGATATCCTTAAAGACACTGCTATCAAGATTTTGATTTTATCAGAGTATTTCTTAAGCAACTTTTTCTCAAGGCAGCTCAGCACTCAGCCCAACTGAGCTGTGAACTACTGTTACCTAAAATAATCTTACCACCCATTTTCTATGGGTGTTACGGTTTCTACCACGCCTCTTCATTTTTACACCTTGCCTGTTTGTGTTTTATCCAGCACAACAATTTTAGGCTGCTGCCATCTCTCTGATTAGGTTTTCATTCACATTATGTTTTGCCTAAGCAGGAGAAGTGTGATTTAATCTCCCATATATACAAGTAAATTAAATTAAAAGGAGGGAATAAATAAAGCATGAATTGCAGATGATAAATCATGAATGATTCATGTTCTCAACTGTAATCTTTGAGAAAGCCATCACAGAAGCTGTCCCACTGTACTTTCAAGTGAATCTACTCCAAAGCAGTAAACTGCTTTCCCAATAAAACACATTCATTAAAAATTGAAGCCTGGTGCATGAATGCTTCTTTTCACAACTATTAATTGTGAAGAATTATTATCTTTTTAAGAAACAGGAATTATATTTTATACAATCCACACCAATGTAGGGAGACAAGACTGGATAGATTTTTGCTCCTACTCAGATACTTTTGAGGAATTCCATTTTCCATTTTGATGCCTGAAATGCTGTACTGCTTTCCATGACGAGCAATGGTTCCAGCCTCCATTGTCCAGGACTACTTTAAAAGAAATTTTTTAAAAAATATGCAGACTCCTTTTCTTTTATAAGTTTATTTTAAAAGAAGTCAGATGAAGGCAAGATAGAAATGAAGAAGAAATGTGGGTAAACCTGACTTTTTTTGTCATAAAACTAGAGAAACAGGGAAGCACATTTTTACTGGGCATGACCCCAGAACTGGGTCAGAGCACTTGCTCTGCAGAGGATCTGCCATGTTTGTGATGTTGAGCAAATCCTTCTCTGCCTGCTATGGTTTCCCTGCCAGCCTCACACTTCTTGTCTATTCTGTACATCCTCTGGAGCTGGGGCTCTCTCTTGTCATTTGTTTGCACGCAGCAGGACATTTTTAAGCACCAATAAATGCCTTTACTTTTGCTTGAGTTCAGCATTGGATCTCTGCCTGTGAAAGCCTCATGTTAAGGTATAAATTTGCTGCCAAAATTAAAAGATAATTTTTGCTCATTTCAAAGTGAAGTTCTCATCTCAACCCTCTATCTTCACTGGGGAAAAGAGACATGTTACTAAAGCTCCTCTAAACTGCTTTTTGTCTTATCTCTGCCAATTGTGTGTGTGACCTTTTCAGGGCTCCTTCCTGGTGTGAAGAGAGGGACATGGATTGTGGTGGGGGAGTTTATCAGAACACAGTAAAGGACCACATAGGTGTTATATGCACTCTACTTTGATCGTCCCTCCAGGAATCAGATCAGGGGAGACAGATCCCAATTAATAGCTGCAGAACAACTTTTACCAATGAAACTGTTATCATTAATGGAATCCAAGCTACTACTTTTAATAGCAGGCACTTATATCAGGCAGCACACTCAATTTTTACACCCCCCAGGCTGGAGCCTGAGCAGGGAGGCCCAACACTTCACTCAGGAGTGGACAATCCTCCTGATGTGCCACAGCTTCTGGGTGGGTGTTTGAGCAACCCCTCCATGGCTGCCCATTCACACCAGGTAGGTGTATACATGGTCTTTGCACATTCTTGGTGGTGGCCTGAGTGTGGGCTGGCCTTGGACACTGTCAGCCAACTCTGGGTGTCCTGGGTTTCCCAGCCCTTAGAGATAAGCCAGGACCAGTGTGCAGGATGTTCACACACTCCTGAGCCCACATTTCTTCTCTCCTAGACCTGCTGTTTTCTGGTGACTGTTTCCCCATGCACACTCACAGGTACCTACAGGTTCTCTTCATACAAGCTCACACAGAAAAGGTGTTTAGGAGGCTTTATGCTTCAG